CATGTAACTGCAGACTTCGAGAGTGGAATGAAAGCCCTCAAACATTTCCTGGAGTAATGTAAGCTCAACAACACTCAGTGATTGAACATAACCAAGTTGTGACCTACGTGTATGTCATGTATGTACATGTTCCTTTCCATTTAAAGTCCCTATTAAATGTGATATCAGGGCAGCATGTACAAGTTCACATGAATCTTGCTGTCCTTGGTTACATGCTGCATCCTTTTGGTCGCTCAAACATGTCAAAGAACTCATGTGGACAACTTTTTCTCAAATTTTCATCTCAGCTTAACTACATGTAACAGTCACTACACATGGGACTGTTCTAAGCAGGAAATACCGGTACTCTGCAATTTGCCAGTACATATGCATGTGTACTGGTATAACAATGTTCCTTCAACCCTCCCCACACGCCATATTGTGATAGGGCATACTGACACCTACATGCATGGTACATGTCCATGAGTTCTTTACAAAGTCAACCACTCACAATGTTTACTTTGAGATTAGGCAGTAGAAATTATTGACTGTCTGCAAATGTGCTTACAGTAGGCCTACACTGGCAAAACCTAACACTTTTGTGTACTCAAAACTACAGTATATGTACATGATCAGAGGGGGGATCTAGCATTAATGCAAAGGCACAGCCCTCTAAAATGGAGGTGAAACTTGAATACCCAAAAGGGCATATTTCTATCACCTGGGTAAAAAATTTCTGCCTTTCAAATGATTTAGAAGTTTTTGTAACTTGTTGAGAGCAGAAGAAAATGACGTGTACTCCCCCCCTAAAAAAAAGTGGGGTTGGGGATGCCAACTGACCCCTTTGGATTCCCTACATTGCACCCTACGTTCTGGGGTGGTACATGTACATGTACAAGTATATTCTCCACCCAACCATACATTAATTATCAGATACTCTGATTCTGAATTCAGCAGGGATGACAAATTCCAGGGTTTGTGTGAGAAAAAATGGTGATGTCCGACTCCTAGTAATTTTTGTTTATACCGGTAATGGCGGCATTTGAAAAAATTATACAACTTTCAGATTAATAGAAAATTACTTAAATTGGTTTTAACAAAAGAAAGTTTAGTGCCACCTCAGTGAATAATATCAAAGAGTTTGTGTAAAAAGAGACATTCTTGTTTTTTCTGAATAAAAATCAAATGCTTTCCACAGCCTACATGTAATGGTAGAGCCTACAGTACGCACTGTACATGAACATTGTATGTGTCTTGGTCTTCAAACTACATGTCCAAGCATACATGTATGCATATAATGCATGTCATGGGAATAAGAAGACGTTTTGCCAAATGCTATATATAGCCACTACCTGGAAATAATCTGACCCCAGTGGGAACCGAAAATGTGCACAGGTTCACAAATAATTCATTTACGGTTTACGGTTTATTTCTTAATACCAAATAGAAAGTCAAAAGACTAAAAATATTTGGTTAACAATATACACAATAAGAGGTTAAAATTGACATCAAAAANACTGCAGACTTCGAGAGTGGAATGAAAGCCCTCAAACATTTCCTGGAGTAATGTAAGCTCAACAACACTCAGTGATTGAACATAACCAAGTTGTGACCTACGTGTATGTCATGTATGTACATGTACATGTTCCTTTCCATTTAAAGTCCCTATTAAATGTGATATCAGGGCAACATGTACAAGTTCACATGAATCTTGCTGTCCTTGGTTACATGCTGCATCCTTTTGGTCGCTCAAACATGTCAAAGAACTCATGTGGACAACTTTCTCTCAAATTTTCATCTCAGCTTAACTACATGTAACAGTCACTACACATGGGACTGTTCTAAGCAGGAAATACCGGTACTCTGCAATTTGCCAGTACATATGCATGTGTACTGGTATAACAGTGTTCCTTCAACCCTCGCCACATGCCATATTGTGATAGGGCATACTGACACCTACATGCATGGTACATGTCCATGAGTTCTTTACAAAGTCAACCACTCACAATGTTTACTTTGAGATTAGGCAGTAGAAATTATTGACTGTCTGCAAATGTGCTTACAGTAGGCCTACACTGGCAAAACCTAACACTTTTGTGTACTCAAAACTACAGTATATGGGGATCCAGCATTAATGCAAAGGCACAGCCCTCTAAAATGGAGGTGAAACTTGAATACCAAAAAGGGCATATTTCTATCACCTGGGTAAAAAATTTCTGCCTTTCAAATGATTTAGAAGTTTTTGTAACTTGTTGAGAGCAGAAGAAAATGACGTGTACTCCCCCCCCTAAAAAAAGTGGGGTTGGGGATGCCAACTGACCCCTTTGGATTCCCTACATTGCACCCTACGTTCTGGGGTGGTACATGTACATGTACAAGTATATTCTCCACCCAACCATACATTAATTATCAGATACTCTGATTCTGAATTCAGCAGGGATGACAAATTCCAGGGTTTGTGTGAGAAAAAATGGCGATGTCCTAGTCATTTTTGTTTATACCGGTAATGGCGGCATTTGAAAAAATTATACAACTTTCAGATTGTTAGAAAATTACTTAAATTGGTTTTAACAAAAGAAAGTTTAGTGCCACCTCAGTGAATAATATCAAAGAGTTTGTGTAAAAAGAGACATTCTTGTTTTTTCTGAATAAAAATCAAATGCTTTCCACAGCCTACATGTAATGTAGAGCCTACAGTACGAACTGTACATGAACATTGTATGTGTCTTGGTCTTCAAACTACATGTCCTAGCATACATGTATGCATATAATGCATGTCATGGGAATAAGAAGACGTTTTGCCAAATGCTATATATAGCCACTACCTGGAAATAATCTGACCCCAGTGGGAACCGAAAATGTGCACAGGTTTACAAATAATTCATTTACGG